CAGCCGCCCGGCCTGGCTGGGCAGCACGGAGGAGACAAAGGCTTCGGCCACCCGGAGCTGGGCTCCTGGCTCCCCTGGCCCTTGCCCTGGGGGCCCCGCTTTGCCTCCGTTGCCCAAACGGGAAACCGAGGCCCAGAGAAGGGCCAGAAGGGGAGGGTTGGTTGGCCCTGATGACCCCCCATCCCCCAGCCCAGACCCCAGGATGTCCGTGTGCAGGAGCTGGGCTGGGCGTTGGTACATTCTTGGGCCCTAATGACGGATTATTCTAGCCCAGCCAGCCCAGCTGGGGCTCATTGGTGGTTTCAAGGCCCCCCCACAGGAGTGCAGGCTGCGGGGGTGCAGCCCTGAGAGCTCTATTTGAAGCCTATTTGCATCGCCCTCCTCGCCAGGTTCCCCCCACCCCCGCTGCTGCACCCCAACACCTCGCTCCCTAATAGTCTCTGCAGCTTCCTGCCCGCCAGCACCTGGGAGCTGATGGTCACAAAGTGGGGGGGCAGGGGGTTGCGGGGAAGACCCCCTAGACCCACACAGTGGCCTGGTCCCCTCCACGATGACAGGCACAGCCAGGCAGCCAACGTCCAGGACGGAGTCAGGCCGAGAGTCCCCAATAGTTCTGGGCTCTGGTTTCCTGCTTGCTTCTGTGCCTCAGTTTCCCCATCTGCAAAATGGGGTCATATCTTGGGGGCAGATGCGTACGTGTGACTTGCTGGGCAGGGCCGGGGCGATTCCGCCCGCCGTTGTCATGATGGCGATGGCCGGGGTGGACGCCGTCTGTCGGGTGGAGTGTGTCCCCTGAAATTCCGGATTCGAGACCGGACTGCCGGTCCCACAAATGGGACCTTGTTTGGATATGTCATTCATTAGACATCGAGATGAGATGAGGTGGTTCTAAATCCAGCCACAGGTAGCCCAGGAAAGGAGGGGGATTTGGACACAGACCGGGGAGCCACGTGACAGCACAGGCAGAGACCGGGGTGGTGTGGCCACCAGCCTAGGGATGCCTGGAGCCCCCGGGAACTGGGAGAGGTGGGAAAGACCTCCCCTGGGGCCTCTGGAGGGAGTGGGGCCCTATGACACCGTGCTGTCAGACCTTGGGCCCCAGAGCTTCAGGAAGGCACACCTCGGTGGCTTTAAACCGCCCCCAGAAGGCTCGTGTGTGTGTCTCTGTCCTCGGCTGGAAGTGGGGCCTCGGGAGAAGCTTGGACTCAGGGGAGAGACGACGGGGCTGGGTTTGGGCTTCCCGACACCTGTGTCTGCCAGTGGCCCCCGCAGGTGGCCTTCCGTGCGATGGGACCGTGGTGCCCGGGCCAGGCCCCGGCATCGACTAACCGCACCCCTTGCTGCCCTCACAGCTCTACGAACTGGATGGGGACCCCAAGAGGAAGGAGTTCCTGGACGACCTGTTCAGCTTCATGCAGAAACGAGGTGAGGCCGGCCCTTCCGCCCTGGGCCCGCGGGAGGCGGGGTGCCTGCTGGCTGCAGCCGGGGCAGGCGTGTCATAGTGGCAGTGAGTTCTCCGTGGCCAGAGGCATCCAAGAGCTGTCTGCGAGGGAGAGGAGGCAGCTCCTGCCACGGGTGTCGGGGGCCAGGGCTGGGAGAGTTCCCGTGGGGGGTCCCACCCAGAACAGGTGGCTCCCTCCCTTACTGCCGAGACCCGGGGTACAATGGCAGCAAGGTGGGGTTCCCGGGGGGTCGGGTGGGCACCGGGGCTGAGAGAGGTGCCCCATTCAGGCCCCGGCCCCTTCTGCGTTTATGGGGCCTCAGTCCCCCCTCGCCCCTCCCCCCCGATGGGCCACACGGTCCCCACCGTTGGCAGCACCCAAATCATGCTGAGTGCTGGGCCGCGGGTGCTGAGAGCCAGCAGTGTGCCCGCTCGACACCTCTGCAGCCCGTCCCCTCCTGCCCCCGGTCTGGGGTGTGACGGTCGCCGACTAGGGCCCTGCTGGGAGGTGTCTGGGCCTTGGGAACAGTGACGGGACTGGGGGCTGGTGCGGGAGGGGACACTGAGGCCCGGACACTGGAGGGTATCGGTCCTTCGGGGCGAGCCAGGCTCAGAGGGGATGGGGGGCAGCCAGGGGGTCCCCAGAGGTTGCCGCTCGTGGGCCTCACCCCCAACTTGGAGCTGCCACAAGGTGGAGGCAGGTCTTTCTGAGGAGTGCCTGTCGCCGCAGGGCGGGGCTCTGGCCCTGGACAGCCCTCTGGGGGGTCATTAGGACCCACTGGGGCACGGGGCCTCAGCTACAGAGGCGGGAAGGAGTGGGGCGGCAGGGGCCACTGGGGGGGTAGGCATCGCAGGGGCCAGCCCTGCCGCTTTGTCCAGGCCCCTGCCTGCCCCTCCCTCCCGCAGCTTCTGTAAACACAGGCCCAGCCAGGCCCGGAAGGGCCAAGGGCCGGAGATGAGAGGGGCGTTAACCCCTCCTGTGCTGGGCCAGGGGAATGCAGACCCCGTCCTGGGCTAGGGCCCCTGCCCTGTTATCGTCCAGCCCAGCCAGGCCTGCTGCCCCCCATGTGGCCAGAGAGATCCTTGATCTCTCTTTATCGGCCTGTCCACACCCGCCCGAGCCCCTACTCCACCCCCTGTCCTGGGGCTCATCCTCATGGTCCGTGGCCCACCCATTTGGCTCCAGACCAGGCATCGTGTGTCCAGGGGGTGCTAGGAAGTGCTGTGAGCCACCTCTGTGTGTGGGTGAGGCTGGGGGCCCCAGACGGCCAGGCCGGCCCCTGGCCACACAGGGGCACGAGGGTCTGTGTCCAGCTCTGTCTTTCACCAAGCCAGGTGCTCCTGTAGGGTAGGAGGCAGGAAACTCCTACGCATCCCTCAGAACCCGGCCCCGAGGCCCTCTTTTCCTGCCCTTCTTGGGCACCCACCCCACCCGCCTTTCAGCCTGGATGCCATGTCCTGTGTCCCACAAGCCCCTTCCCTGCACCCCAGAGGGCCACAGAGAAAAGGCCTCCTGCCCAAAGTCTCTGGGGCCTGTGGGGCTGGGGATGCGGGAGGGGTCCTGCCTGCACCCACCCCCTGTGGCCTCCCTCGTGCCCCCCAGGCCCGCCCCGCCCTCCGCCCTCCACCAGCGCCTCCTACCCTCCTGGCCCTCCTCCTCCTTCTGTAAACATCCGTCCAGGCCCTGCCTGCCGCAGACTCCACTGGATTCCTTAATTCTCCCCTCCCTGGCCCCGGGCAGAGCCTGAATCCCTGTTCCAGTGCGGAGGTGGGGGGTGGGGGGGACAGGGCAGGCCCTGTGGCCACTTCCCCCAGCTGGGTGTGCTGACCTGTGAAGCTTTCTCCATCTCCCTCTCCAGGGGAGAATGGAATTGGGTGGGTGGGGGGCTGAGGTCCATCTTCCTCCCTGCCCCCTCCTCGGGTCGATGGGGATTTTGCAACCTGGGAAGGGCCAGAGAGGCCAGGGGTGGCGGCAGGGGTGGGGGCCAGGGGGACACCCTTTGGCTCTGGGGCAAGCGAGTGGCTTCTTCCTCCACGGGGTCCCACACCCCAGCCGTCTGCCCACCTCGGCGGAGCTGCGGCCCGCCAGCCGTCACTGCGTTTACTGAGTGCTCGCTGTATGCCAGGCTGGGCACCGGGGACCCCGTGCGGGCAGGAAGTGGGGTGGCGGGTCCAGGGGAGGCACAGACATCGAACCTGGGGTTCCCCCTGCCAGGGAGAGAGGTGAGATGGGGGCCTTCACTGCCCTTGGCCAGCAAGGTGCCAGACAGGCCTGAGGCTCTGAGGCTGGGGCCCTCTGGGTGAGGGGACTCGGGAACAGAGGCTGCGAGGGTCAGGTGGACAGGAAGGGGAGCTGGCTTGTGGGCAGGGAGCAGCCACCCCTTCCCCTGGGCCGCCCCCACCCCCCCCTCCACCCGGGCCAGCCCCACCCCCACCCCCCAGCACCACCTTCTCGGCAGCAGAGGGATCAGCCAGGCCCTCGCTCCCCAGCTGCAAAGCCCCTGGGGCTGGAGGGCAGGTTGCGGGAGCTGTTTTGGCAGCTGTTGTGGGTGGCAGGGGAGTGGGAAGAACAAAGGCCGAGCTCTCGGGCCTGTCCCCCGGTTGGCCCCGCATCTCCCTGCCCGTGCCCCCCACCCCCAAGGTCGCAGGGAAACTGAGGCAGAGCTGCCTTGTGCTCGGCAGCGGAGCTCTCACCGGGGCGGTCACTGGGAAATGTCCGAGGCATCTGTGGTCACCAGGACGGGGGTGCTCCCGGCCTCGAGCTGCTGGGGGCCCACAGTGCCCTGGACAGCCCCCCACACAGTGTGACCCGGCCCGTCATTCACACGGCCACAGGGGGGTGCGGACCCCGCTCTGGATCAGGGCGTCGACCACAGACTTGGCGTCTGCTCGCGGGGGGGCTCCGGCCCCCGTGACAGCACCCCCTCCCCCGCAGGCACGCCCGTGAACCGCATCCCCATCATGGCCAAGCAGGTGCTCGACCTGTTCATGCTGTACGTGCTGGTGACGGAGAAGGGCGGCCTGGTGGAGGTCATCAACAAGAAGCTGTGGCGCGAGATCACCAAGGGCCTCAACCTGCCCACGTCCATCACCAGCGCGGCCTTCACCCTGCGGACCCAGTGAGTGCCGAGCGCGGGGCTCCCGGGCGGTTCCGGCAGCGCCGAGCCCGGAGGGATTAGGGGGGTGTCACGGGGACAGGCATCCAGACGGCTGCGGTGACTCTCGGGTGGCGCCAGGGGCGGGAGGAGCTGCCACAGCCGAGGGCAGTGAGGAGCCACGGGGGGCGTCCCAGGTGCCATCCCGTGCCCTCGCCCCTGCCCGCAGGTACATGAAGTACCTGTACCCCTACGAGTGTGAGAAGCGCGGCCTCAGCAACCCCAACGAGCTGCAGGCGGCCATCGACAGCAACCGGCGGGAGGGCCGGCGGCAGAATTTCGGCGGCTCCCTCTTCGCCTACTCGCCGGGCGGGGCCCACGGCATGCTGTCCTCCCCCAAGCTGCCCGTGTCCTCTCTGGGCCTGGCCGCCAGCACCAACGGCAGCTCCATCGCCCCGGCCCCCAAGATCAAGAAAGGTAAGGGGCTTGATGTCATCGACTCGGGCTGCGTGGCCTGGTGGGGGGCGGGGACACCTCCTCCTCTCTCCGGTGACAGGGTGACAAGCCCGAGCTGGCACGGAAGGGGGCGGCCGGCCTGCCAGTTCTGTGCGCAGGCAGAGGTGACGGGCCACGCGCAGTCCCCTGCCCGGTGCCCACGGCGGACATCGCTCGTCGACCACGGGATTCCGTTCTCCCGAGCGTTAGAGTCCTCGGCGCTTCGCTCCAGCAGACGCCACCGAGCGTGTGGCGTGGGGCTAGCAAACTGACCCTGTGGCCATCACTGGCGCTGTTGCCGGGGGCCTCCGGGCGGCTCAGCGCCCCTTTCCGAGCCCGATTTCCTTACGGGTAAAGTGGAGAAAATGGCCCCCCGCTCACGGAGTCGCGTTGTGGGGCGTCTTCGGTGCGTAAAACACCCAGCACGGGACAGGCCTGGGTTTGCTGGAACCTGACAGCCAGGCCCCCATCCCCAGTCCCCGCCCGTGGCAGGCAGCTCGAGTCGATCGAGTCCCCTCTCCCACCGAGCCTCGGAAGCTTCCGAGCGTAGCGCCCGGGGCGCGTGGGGCAGAGTGGCCTCGCACAGGCCCGTTCGCCTGTCTGGGTTCTCATTTGTCCTCTGCCACACGGGCTGTGCCCACCTCCTTCCTGGGGTTGGCCCGAGGACCCGAGCCAGCCCCCGCAGGGCCCTGAGTCGTTAGGACTGGTCAGATCTGAGGCGAGTGCGGCCTTGCTGACGTTAGCCCGGTCAGTGCTCTGTGGGCCTCAGTTTCCCGTCCTGGCCTCGGGGAGCTCTAGTGACACCTGTTAACGGTTATTAAGCTTCTCCCGAACGTGGGCCAGGCCCCGTGCTGGAGCTGGGGAAGATGGTGGCGGATAGGACGAAGGGGCTGTGACCCGGGGAGTCACCAGAGAGCCGGGAGGCAAGCAGCAGTCCACAGCGACGGGAAAGCTGGCAGGTCCAAGGGGCTTCTGAGGAGGTGGCATTCGAGTCCCAGCCCAGCCTCTGCCCGGCTCGTATAAGTCCTCTCCGAGCCTCTGCAGCCTTGCCTGGAGGTGGGAGTGGGCGTGGGGTTGTCGAGATGGCCCTTCGAGAGGGCTCGTGCTGAGCGCTTTAGACGGGACACGTGGCGAGTGCGTGTTGTGACGAGCTGGGTGTGTAGTGTATTCGGTGGCATCGTAACTGGCATCCTTATCGTTGGTGTTGCCAGCACGGCGGTGTCTGCTGTCAGCCCGATGCTGGGAGGGGTTTCATCTGCTTCCCTGGAGAGGAAGTGAGCTCCCCATCAGTGGGGGTATTCAAGGAGGGGGG